CTATGACCCTCCTGCCAAAGCCTCCCGATCTGCTGGAATTGCGGGCGCAGGCAGCTGCACCCCGCACGTGCAGGATGGCTGAGGAATAGAACCCGGGCCTCCCGCCAAACTCCCAGCCTCCCAAGTGGACCGTCGTTTGATTTTAGCAGAGGCTTTTAGCCACAGTCTTTTGCTAGCGAATGTTGTCAATTTTTTTAGCCCATTAAAGGCATAAACTTGAGTCCCTCTCCTGTCCATTACACAGGAGGAAAGCACTTTTACTGCCTACTGCTTCTCTAGAAATGAAAGAGGTCTGAGGTCAGTAGGTAGCACAGTGGTTAAGCTACTGGACTCTCACATGGCTATGGTCCGAGTCCCAGACCTGGCAGCTTGAAATTCACACAGGGCACATGTGCATGTGCCACAATCCCAAGAGGAATGGAGGAGAAGGTATTGTGATGTGGCCATCCTCCTTGGGAAGTGATTCTCACTTCCTCTCTCTCTCTCTGTCTCTTCTTGGCAAGCATATATGCCCTATAGCAAAAAAAAAAAAAAACACCTCTCTTTAGGGAAAAAAGGAAAAGAAAGAGGTCCCTCTTGTTTCTGCATCCTCCTGAATTCCCAGCGATGGCCCTGAAAGTAGTGATCAAATAGTCAGTGTGCAACTTTCTCAAGTTAGCTGAGCCTGTTGAATTAGGAACTTCCTCCCATCTTGTGGGGCCAGGGACAACAGGTCAACTGAGCCGGGAGCTGTTGTCAGGGCTGTGGTGTTGCCTGTGATCGGCCTCGAGGTCTCTAGGTCTGCAGCCCATGGTGACAGAGACGTGGACTTGCTTCTCGTCTCTTCCTGACCGTAGTAAGACCATCATTAGGGCCAAGACTTCTGCCTTGCGAGTCCTTTGCTTGTGTTTGAAGCTATGGCATCATAGTCCAAGCTTCCTGGCCATGTGCTCCGCTGAGCCCCAGAGCCCCAGCCATGGTGGTGTCACTCTGTCCACACCTTCGGGTGGCGGGCTTGGGTGTGGTGGAGCGCCTTCCTGTGGGAGAGGGAGTTCACCAGCTCAGCAGCCGGAAATGTGGGCACCGGTCAGCTCAGCTTTCAGCGTCCAGCCTTCCCTTCTTTCAGAAGGCTGCTGGGATGGGACGAGGTAGGTGGCTTCCCAGGGCACTGTGTCACACGTGAAAGCTTTACGTACGAACATTCCACCCCATCCTGCAGTGAATGGCTAGGACCCCACTTAGTGGCTCTGTTCTTTGTGTTTTGTTTCAGTTTACTGGAGGGAGTGTGCGCTCATAGAGAGCGCGGGAGAAAGCGAGAAAGCCCCCCGGAGGGGATGGTCGGGCTGCAGTCCCTTCTCCCCCCTCCGTCCCTCCCTTCAGGTTTCTAGGCACACACACACACACCCAGCATCTTTTCTGAACAGCCAGGTTTGGGACTCGAGCTGCACAGCCAGCCACATGGGATCCAGCTGCCTTGACCAGCATCCCTGGCTGGCTCTGCTTAGTTCTGACGGGGCCGTAGTCAGGAGGGGGGCAGATGCGGCTTTCTGAGCCCGTGTGCATTTTGCGTGTGCGAGTGTCAGCCGTGCACACGGGGCATCACGCGGCAGTGCAGCCTGCAGTCTCCGTGAGAAGCTTGGAGAACCCTTTGGGCAAGCTGCTCCTCCTGTAGCCAGGGGAGGGGCTGGAGGTTTGCTGCGGCAAGAATGACTTCTCCGGGAGAGGGAAGTGGACCACAGAAAGGACCAGCATCGTCACTGTGGACCACAGAAAGGACCAGCATCGGCACTGGCACGGGCTGCACCGGCACGGGCTGCACCGGCACGGGCTGCACCACCACCGCTTCCTCTTCTCGCAGCCCGGGGAGGCCGGCCTAACCCGTCTTTCAGAGCAGAGACTCGTAGGCGGAGGCGCTTGCCCAGAGTTGCCCAGCCAGGTGGTGACGGCAGGACCCGTCAGGTGGGCTGTCTGAGAAGGCCTTGGTGTTGACCCTCTGCACTCTTGGGCTGTGCTCACGAATATCTCTGTCAAGCCAGTGAGGCACTCGGAAAACCTCTGACCTCTGGCCTCTGGTGGGCTTAAGCTCCGATCTCCCGTCAGTACTATGTGGCACAGAAACTTCCGGCACCTGGTTGCACGCAGTCCCCAGCTCATCGCCGCCAGATCCCAGGAGCATTTCCAGCCCCTCCCTCCCACCTGTCCCTGCTTGCTGCGAGAACCAATTATTAGGCCACTGTGATTCGCCAACAGCGGCAGAGAAAAGCCTTTTTTTTTTTTTTTTAATTTAAGAATTATTTATTGATTGGTATTTTTTAATTTGACCAGGCAGAGACAGACAGAAAGGGAACTTGAGGCTAGTCACCCGGTCTGGGACTCGAACTTTGGGCGGTCGTTTAGGAGTCCAGCCCCTTTTACTACCACGCCATCTGCCCACCCCAAGCCAAACACTTTTTTTTTTTAGTAGTGATGCTGTTTCTTTTTCAAATTTATTTAGCTTTATTTATTCATTCATTCGTTTTTAATTTGGTCAGAGAGAGAGAAGGTCAGAAACGTGGTCGGCCATGTGGGAGTGTCCAGTGCCTTACCCACCATGCCACCCGCTGGTCCCTAGCTGCACACTTTGAACTGAACTGCCTCTGGTCTTAAAGAACTTACAGCCCTCGGGACCAGCAGTTAGCGTAATGGCTATGTCACTGGACTCCCACGTAGTCAACCGCAGTTCAAGTCCCGGACCCGGTAGCTTAAACTCACACCGGGCACGTGTGCGTGCATGGCCAAGATCCCAGGATGAGAATGGAGGAGAAGGGATTGCGGTGTGGCCATCCCCCCTGAGGGGTGATTTCTCGCTTTCTATCTCTCTGTCTTTCTGGCGAGCGCACGCACCCTATAGCAAAAACCTCTCCAAAAAAAAAAAAAAAAAAACTTACAGCCCTCTAAGGCGTATACAGTACAGATGTACAGTAAAGGGTGGTTATTTTCTGCCACGGTGAAATGCGGGGTGTTCTGGGCCTGCGGAGCCTGCTGTGGATGAGGGGACGAGCTCTTCCAGAGAGCTATTGAACCCCGTCCAGAGGTAGGGTTGGTGGGATGGGCAGGCTGCGTGTGGCAGGGCCTTTGGGGAAGAGGCTGGACGCCACGTTCCAGA